GAAAAAGAGGGGGGGAGTCAGATATTTTTGTGTATGAAAAAAGGGGGGCCAAAACTTTTGTGCAATATAAATACCTGCCCCGCATTACCCCGTCATACCATAAAACCTATAGATAAAAAATAGAGAGCTGGGGCCGATTGTATAAAAAAGTGATTAAAGTTAACTATAGTTAGTGGAAACGTCATCCAATAAAAAGCGCATATTTGAGAGTTAATCACTATTTAACTACAAAATAGTGATTAAAAAAGTGATTAAGAGTTTTATACAACGGCCCCTGGTTATTTCAGCAGCGAATGAAAAAGAGTTAACTACTTTTTAACTGCAGTTAGCGCTAACTACGTTTTTATACAACCGGCCCCAGTAGAACATTATTACTGTAGTAAACTCTAACACAACACCATTTATTAAACTGATCTCAACATAAACATTTACATTGGAACAGCCGTTGACTCAATAAATGGTAAAGAATATATAAATTACGATATATGTATATAGGGCATAGTTGCCAACTCTCACAGATCCACCATGAGCATCACAGATTTTACTAAAACCTCACAGTGAGCTCACAGCTTGTTAATATCTTACGGATTTCGGAAATAACCCGACTGGTTCTTAAATATGTTGACTTTGCTGCACATTTTAACAGCTATTAAGAGTGACTTCATTTGTGTCAAATTTAACATAAAACTTTTTTCTTCTGAAAAAATTTATGCCATTAAGGTGGCTCCCTAGGGTTTTTTAATTTACTACACTATAGTATTCAGGAGACTCCTGTTTCTTTACTTTACATGACATGAAAACGAAATTTATTGGACACATTGACAATGTTCTCCTGAACATTGCAAATTGCTACTTTTGTGTTAAAAATATGTTGTCATGGCAACAGCATGCTTAGAATAAAGCTCAAAATTTGTCTTTTTCAGGTCATTTTAAAAAGTTCCTTTGGTGAAATTTTTTAAAACTTTGCATAGAAGATAATACTTGTATAATGATTCTTTTCCGTCAATTTAAAAAAATTAAATCGATACGTTTCTTAGAAAATTTAAAAAACGTCAAAAATCAATATTAAAAATTTTCCCTTCGATTTAATTTTAAGAAAAAAGGATATTGCACTTGTTGTACCGATATTAAAAAATGTGCAAAGTTTTAAAAAATTTTACCGAAGGAAAACGGAGAAATTTGGGTTTAATTTTGGCAATTTTTACTAGATTTTTACGCGAACAATTTAATACCCCAACTGACGTGTACATGCATTCTGCGTAAAACAACAAGGCATGACTTTTTTGAAATCACAAAATATAAATTATGTTCGATATACTGTTTATAACTGTGTCGGTTAATGGTCAACTAAGCGTGGATTATACATGTAAAAATGGCAAATATATTTAGGTAATTACTGATTATGACTTCTTGGTATTAATTTGAAAAATGTTTGTCAAAATTCGTCCCGTGTGAGTTAGTACTATCGTCGGATGTTTTCGCAAAATGCCCGTTCAAATTTCAGTTTTTATAGCGGTATGTTTGGAGTTTCGGCCCTGCTCATTTCACTCGTAGGGGCTCATTATTTAAGTCATCTTTATTGTCATAAGTGCTGCTAGATTGTGGAGAAAACACTGCAAATTCTTGAGGAAACTTTATATCATATCCCAATGTTCGCGATCGAACCTCGCGTACGGCGGTTCAAAAAACATCCAGAATACCGCTTGAAAAAAAACAAGTTTACATTATCTTCTTTTGAAACATCACATCCAAGTATCGTTTTGGCTTTTAGAACTCTTTTACGCTTTCAACTAAAGCAAAGTTCACACTTTTGTTTCAAAAAAGAGTTCCATATAAAACACAACGTTCGTAGTCGTATTTTGAAGTTACACGAGTTTTAGTTTACATATATACGAAGAACGTAACACCCGGAAATAAAACCCTAGGGAGCCACCTTAACAATAAAAATACGTCTGTGCCCATCTTGTTAATAGTGTTGTCAATCAAATGTAAAATGTGTCAAATTTTAATCATTAATTACAAAATTACAATGTGACAAATTAATATCAGGCACGCGCCTTATGTAATAGCCTGCGAATATATAGATGTAAACAAAATGCAAATCTCGATTTCAACGCATAATTGTTTACAACAAGTCTGTAATGTCAAGTTGGAAAGAAACTCCAAAAGAATTTACTCGTAAAAAACCGCTAAAAATGTGAACGAATTTTGCCATTGTTGCAATGCTTCTTTAAAAGTAAAATACGGAGATACAGTACATGGAAGTCCGTTTCAATAGTGAACTTGCTCAAGTCAAGCCAACAGTAGGGCAAGATAGTTTTGAAGTTCTTTTGCAAAATATAGGGATTGTTTGTGAGAGAGGTCCAGAATGGTCTGAAAGATTATGCGGGACATGCATAAAAATAAAATGTGCATTTTGAATTTGTATTTTCCTTTCACCAGTCCACGTCTCAATGACGCGGTGAGATTAGTCTATAACAAAAGCAACCAAACGATTAATACGCAAATGACAACTTGAATATTTTAAAGCGTCGATACTACACTTGTTAAGAACGTTTTCGGCCGATCCAAATATCAAATGAAATTTCCTCGATTTTATGTTCCCTAATGTTTGGTTCGTCACTAACGCAAACCGAGCTAATACCAAGGTCCTTAGCTTCTTCCATTTAGTCCTCTATAATACTAATTAGAGGACAAATGAATAAATGAATAAATGATTATGGCTATAGCGGGTTCTTTTCTTTTCCTCTCCTGGACGAAGACCGAAAGTTGGAATATTAAGCTTTTGCCGTATAGCCTGTTGGTAATACCAGTGTCATTAGTGAGTTTGGCAACCAACAAAGGCGATGGCAGAAAAGAAAATTACTTATACTTTTGTATTTGAGCGAAAACATACATTACTAAACTTTTAAAAGCACTTGTCTTTCTTTCAAACAACCCTGAAATTCCCGGCCTTAAAGATTGTAATTTTAATAAACCATCTATCTATCTATATCTATACCTATAGTGGTCCCCAGATTATCATGCAGGAATCAACTCGCTGAACAATATGCACATGAGAGGCTGAGAGCTGCGTTACTCCCTCTGCAATCTTACTCCCTCTGAGACCCACCTGTTCCTCTAAATAAAACTTATCAAACGGAGGTTAGCGAGAGCCTCTAGACCGTTTTTCGAGCACTTTCTTGTCCAAAATTATATACTACAAAATGTGCCTCATTGTATCTGTGTGTATCTGTGTGTATCGGTTGTCTTGCTAAGACGCCAGTTGTCCAAACTACCTTAGGCTAACTTTACTTAACATATTAAACTACAGTACATTAACCTATACAAAAACATAGATAATATGAAACATTATTGTTAAGAATTCTAATGAGTCTCCAAACCATCTCTTCTATTAACTATGATTGTATCCACGTTTTCTAAGGAATTTGGAAATTTTGGCACGAAGAATATAAAGCCATTATATATATATAGGTTATTAAATTATAACACGTGCATTTAAAATCACGTTGCCTATACTATATAGGTCAAATTAATATCATTTGGTAAATTGTATAATCATAACTTGGTTAATAAGCTAGTATTACACTCATTTGTATTTTTAGTGTTCAATTGCATCCGTAAAGAACAACAACAAGTGTTCTCAGTGCGACAGCATTGTAGATGAAAACAACATGAGATAGGCTACAAGGAATATTTAAAGATATTGAAATTCTTATTTCCAAATGAAGAAGAAGATAATGACCAAGATGATGATGATTCTATATCTGAAATGGATATTGCAGAGGGTGATATTAAGGTTACAACCTTGTCTGGTAAATCTGCAACTTTTCCATATCAACCACAAAAGTTTGAAGCAGAGTTCAAAACTCCTCCAAATAAACAACGTTTACTTTACCAGGACAAAGAGTTGAAGGTATGTTCTTCCTGTTCACTGTTATTTAATTAAAAGACGCGATTATATCCTGGATGACTGCTCATATATAAGTTCGAATCGTGTTAACCAAGGATCTTTTGTGTATTTTATTGCCATTTAATATCATGGGTGAAAAAATAACTAACTAGCGCGCGAAGACTACTCGCATTGCTAGTCAGATCAATTATTTTAAGCGACATCACCAAAACTATATTAAATAATAACAATAATTTAATTAGAATAACGTGGCTCATGATCCAATAATGACCCATTCATACAACTTTTACTTGACCTATGTTGACACGTCCAATTCCACCATGCAATTATAATTGAAATAAATAAGTGTGGTTAACAAATAAATGTTGTGCAAAACGTATTAATGAACACATTTAAATTTAGACAAATTAAATAATAAAGAAGTAAAAGTAAATAAAATGTGCCTTGATGGTGAGCTTTGTCAGTTTGTCGTGTTAGCAACCCTCCAATTAAGAACTCGTAAGATAGAAGCTTTGTGGGGAAGCTGCATGCTGGTTGTCTTGGCCCCATCCAGGTTTCTTGTATATTGCAGGTTTTTCCTGGCCTCCCTGACTATCCAGCTATAGTATGAGTGGTAGTAATGCTCAAATATATCTCAACTATCATCTGGAAGCAGCTGTCTTCTATATGAATACAGTTGTGGTGGGAGTTTGTCTACCGGGAATACACATGCTGTGTATTTGTGGGATTGAAGTGTTCCCAATGGTCAACTTTAGGCCCATATACTCAGGTTATTTAATGTAAATATAATCAGTCGAATCGTAGGTATTGTCCAAGATTCACAGTATGTTGAAACTACAGTAGGCAAGTCGCAGGACACGCGTGGGCATCTCCGGCCTTTTAAGAACGCAAGTTTGTAAAACAAGTACTTTTCAAAGTTATTACTTTGTTAGGATTGTAAAGCTATGGAACTATATGTAAACTCTCCTCCTTCCAACTGCTGCGACACTCGATCTCTCCACCTTTAAATCATACCTAGACAAGACTTACCTCACCTGACTGCTACTGCCTATATATACACTCCTGACTTACCTAGCTCACACTCATTGATCACGACTAACTAATATCTTCCAGGTCTTACATTCCACCACTTCTCGCTTCTATGCTTCTAGTTTTCCATTCATCTTTCATTTTTCTGTTCTATATTTTTCTTGCTCTTCTATACTATCTCATCCAGTGGTGAGTACTACACGCATCGGACCTAGCCTCTCTTGTGTTTTGCCACGTTTGACACCTTCTACTATATATAGTTACTATTCTCCATATTTTTGTTCAGTGTAATTATCTATGTAAGTTATGTACTATATTGTCAAGTTATCTACGTGCCAATTAAAGCTGTTAAATAAAATGAATAAATAAATAAATTATTATTCAGCTCACTCCCCATTGGGGTTTTTCAGTGACCGACGACTTTCGGCAGATCGGCAGAGCGCTGACAGACTTTTTCACTTGAGTCCGTAGCAAGAATCAAACCCACGATCTCAGAGGTGAAAGGCGCTTGCTCTGACGACTGCTATATTTAATGAATTAGAATATACTAATCACCTAATAATGAAGGATATTTTTCATTAGAATATCCAATCATTAAAAAATCACACATCATCTAGATTGACACCTCTGGATTGACACGAGGACTTTTATATCTTTTAGACAAAAGATGAAAGTAACAAGGAATTGACGCTAGAAGATTTCAATATACCATCGAACAGTACCCTCCAGCTCATAGTTATACTTTGTGATGTTTCTGACGATCTAGATGAGCTTGTTTTCGACTTTTGTTGGGGATTGCCAAGAAGGCAACAGAAAGACTACTTGGATGTTTCCGTTTTTATTTATAGCGGTGAATCAAATGTTGGCACAATATATTTTAGAAACCGTTCAATACGTGATTGCCCTGGCGTTAAACACTCTGGTCCTGCTGATATGGATTACACAAAAGGAGAGGGTCATCACAGGGTAGATATATCTCTAAAATCAGTTCCTCGACACATTGATAAAATTGTGTTCACTTTGAGTGCCTGGCGTTCATCTAGTGTCTCGGCATATCGCTTCCGCAGACTTCGTTTCTTTGATGTTGATTTTCCTGATCAGGAACTTTGTAGCGACGATATAAGCGGTCTTGTGCACAATGAATCGATCATAATGTGTTGCCTGTCAAGAAAACAAAGTAAATGGAGAGTATTTAGTCTTAAGTGTGGCGCTGAGGGATGCACTAAGAATTTCGCACCACTTCGAGAAAAAATTCAGGAACTTATACAAAGGAAAACGATACCATAATATTACTAACTTTAGATTGCGCCTGAACTGCATTGTATACCAAATAACTGAACTGAGGAGTTTATTAAATAAACCTCATGTTAGTGTATAATCAAGTGAAAAGAACAATTATGATTTTCAAGTTTTTTAAAAAAATAGTTTTTAAAAAAGTTTTAAAAGAGTTTTAGAAAGCAAAAAAAAATTAAAAAGTTAGATTTTTTAAAAAAGTTAAAAAAGTTAAAAAAATTTAAAAAGTTTAAAAAGTTAGGGTTAGGGGTTAGTGGTTAGGGTTGGGGTAGGGGTTAAGGTTAGTGTTAGGTGCCGC